TTGTTCTCTCTTTTTATATATATATATAAATGGGTCAGAAACAGGTTCTGTCTTGGCACAGAGAATAGTTGAAAGCAGGTGATGTGTTACTGCTGGAGATCAAGCATAATAAACCATGGACAGAAAAAAGAGGCTATGGTCACAAAACAACTCACGGGTGACAGTGATTTCCAAAGGATAGCAATGGACTTCCTTCACCGGACAGACATCTTAGGGAAGAGCTGGCCTGGGAGTTTGGAGGAAGGACACCCCCATTGCCAGCTTGGATACACAAGCCCTGAAATTCGTTTACTGTTTAGCTAGGCAGTATTTCCTGCTTTTATCATGTTCAAGAGACACTTAGCATCATCAGCCACCATGTCAAGGAATTTTAACCGTAGAATGTAGACTTTCAAACCCTGAATGACAGAAGACCCAGGACCTCCTTCCACGGCATAAAAAGACTCAGCACCCTTCACGATTTTTGCTGCTATGCTGTCATCCTTCACAAGGGACCAGAAATCCAAGCACTTGAGGGAGCCCCTGATGTCTTCCACAGACGTGCCCAGCTGTGCAGCAATCTCTTCAATCGATTTATCATCCAAGCCAAAATACCGTCGGTAATCCTTCAAGCACTGTTCCTGTTCAGGCAAGTTGAAGCCATTCAAGAAGGGCATGAAGGGGATGAAAGACTGAGCTGCTGACTTCAAGGCCTCCAGCCAGATCTTCTCCTTGAGAAAATTTCTCTTTATCTCAATGGAAGCATCAGCGATATTGGGCAGCAGCAGAGCAAACGTATGGCGCTTGTGCCCGGGGAGCTCCATCAGTAAAGTTTCCTCCAGCTTTGGGAAGTCGAAGTCAGCCAGATCAAAGTTGGAGATCAAGAAGATGCGCGGTTCAGACACTCCAATGTCGCTGAGATTAGCCAGACAGTAGTCTCGGATCTGCTGAAGGACCCTCTCCTTTTTGAAGGTTGTAGGCTTAGTTTTCTCTTCGTTATATAAGTCACTGTCCACTTTGGTTCTAACAAAGTAGAATTTCTTTCCCACATCCTTGATTTTCTGGGCCAGGAGAGCATCATTGACACTGAACCGAGAGGAAGAAATGATGATGAAGAAGTCATAGCTAGCAAACTCCACTTTTTCTAGGTAAGTGTCTGAAAGGAAATTGGGAGTCCCGGTTCCAGGCAGGTCCCAGAAGGTCACTTGGGGATATTTCGGATGTTGATAGGGGGTTCTGTGCATAGTAGTCTCCACAACCCCAACAGTAGCTGACTCCTCTGCTTCGTGGCTCAGCCCTCGGAGGGCATTTATGAAGCTGGACTTGCCAGCCCCAGACTCCCCGATGACAGCGATCGCCAAGGAAGCCTTTTCTGCGGCAGCCAGTGCTTCCTGAATCTGGCCCACCAAGTCACTCAGTTTTCCCTCCCGGATGGCCTTTTGAATACAGCCGAGAGTTTCTGGAGAGAGTATGCCTCCTACCTTACTGACTAATGCAGAGTAATGAGGCAGGAATTCCATGGACAGTTTTTGGAAATTCTTTCCAGAAGCATTCTTCAGGAAGGCTGAGATGAAGTCATCCATGACCACTGCCGCAGAAGGTCTGGGCGGAAGGAGAAAGACCAGAGAGGTCAGGAGAGTGGAGTGGCAACACAGACACCCACCCGCTCAAGACACACTGGCCCTGGGGGCCACTTCTCTCCTCTCAGACTGATCCCTGTCGCTGTGATTCCTTTATATTCCTGTCACCCCTGGAGAAGGAACACCAATTTTCTGCCTTGTTGGTTTCTGTGTCTCAGATTCGGGAGAGGGTAGCCATCCTTGCAGTGTCAGAAACATGATCCCGAAGATGTCCACACCCTAACTCCCAGAATCTATGACTATATAATTTACACAACTAAGTGAGTTGGCCATTGTGATCGACAGTTTTCAGAAGGAAGTCGATACTTTGCAGTATCCAGATGTGTTCATTTGCGCATTTAATTTGAACTAATTTTGGATTTCTGGCTTCTAAAACTAGGAGAGAATAAACTTCTGTTGTTTCAGTTGCCCCTTAAAAACTGCTCATATGGTCAAGATCATGATGGGGAAACCCACAGAGACAGCTGACCTAAGCTTGTGGGAGCTCAGGGACTCTGGATGGACAGCTAGGGAGTCGATATAGGACTGACATAGGCCCTCTGTATCTGGGTGACAGTTGGGTAGCTTGGTCTTTTGTGGGGCCCCTAACAGTGGGCCCCACAAGAACATGAACACAAACTGGCTCTTTGGGTTCATCTAACAGAGAACAAATGTCTCCTGCTTCATGCAGATGCTTCAGAAACACTGTTCAAAAGGAGAAAGACTTTCAACTCTCAAACAAAACAAAATAAAATGAACATACTAATTTTACCGTAGCCTATAATCCTGACTAGTCAGGAGGCTGAGGCAGGAGGGCGGCAAGTTCAAGGTGCACCTGGGCCCCAAAGTGAGTTTGAGAGCAGCTTGAGCAAATCAGGAAGACTCCAGCAAAATTTAAAACACATAAATCAAGCCACCCTGAGGCTGTAGGCAGGCGCCTGCCTTATGTAAACAAGCCCAGGACAAAGGAAGGCCTGCCAGGTCCTTCTCCTGCCTCTCTGGGACTGCTTCTTGGGGAGAAGTGGCCTCGCCATGGAAAATCTGAAAAAAAATCCCTCACCACTACTGAAAAAAATAAGGTGAGGGAGCCCAGATTTTGCATACTGGCTTACATACATGAACTCTACGTACAACTTTATGAACAAGGAACGGACCCAGAAGCTGGGGAAGCAGGAGATGCTGGCCTTCCAAAGACGTCCCACTGAGACGGCCAAGCTCTACAAGAGAAGTTGAAGGTCTCATTGCTGTCTAGGATGTGCAGTGAAATTACTTCGTGCAGCAATGTGGAAGATGTGTCCTTCTCGAGGGAATTAATGACACTGTAGCTGTGTGAGTCAGTGGAAGTGGATAGCAGAGAGAACGAAGAGATGTGTCTCCAGTGGACAGCAGAGAGAACAAAGGGATGTGTCTCCCGTGGACGTGGACAGCAGAGAGAAGGAAGAGATGTGTCTCCAGTGGATGTGGATGGCAGAGAGAACGAAGAGGTGTGTCTCCAGTGGACGTGGACGGCAGAGAGAACGAAGGGATGTGTCTCCAGTGGACAGCAGAGAGAACAAAGGGATGTATCTCCCGTGGACGTGAACGGCAGAGAGAAGGAAGAGGTGTGTCTCCCCAGTGGGTCTCACCACTGTGTTCTTACTGGCCCCTTGCTTTGCTGCTGTGTTACGTGTTCCTCATTCATAGCGACAGCCAGTCTGCCAGATGTGTGCCTCTGCCGTGCCTGAAGTTAGCGGAACCTACTAGTTATGGCAGCAGATTTGACAGAACAGAAAAAGAAACTAAGAAAGAGAATGAGAAATGCATACACATGTCACAAAAACTTAAAATAGTAAACCATAATATGCAACTAGGAAACCAAAAAAGTTTTTTTAAAAACAAAACAAAACAAAAAAGCTCAAATAAAGCAATATGTGATTTAAAAAAAATCCAAAATAAATAAACCTTTAAATTCATTTTGTGTTGGCCATCTATTGCTGGGCATGGGGCCTGCCCTTAAATTTAAAAACGGTTTGTATAACCAGTGAGATCCAAGTATAACTTGGAGAAATGAATTTTTCCTTTGCAAGTGATTGTTAATTGCAGAGAGCTTCTTGGTTGGGAACAGGAGCTCACTAGTCTGCTTCCCCACCTCAGGGCTGGGAGCTCAACTGGCTGGGACCTGTGCAGGCCGGGTACCTGCTGCCATAGTTGCTGAGAGCTCATGGGTGCTCAGTCCTGTTGTATCTTAAAGACACTACTTTCTTTCTTCCTTCCTCTCTTCCTCTCTTTCTTTCTTTCTTTCACCTAATGAATCTTGAAAGGCTATGTAATCACTAAATAAGTATACTATAAACAATATACCATATTTTCTGAAGAAGTAAAAATTTTCAGTTCAATAAACAAAATCTTCATTTGTGTGCATCAGGAATTTTAAGTATGCCTCTCTGAAATACCAGTGTGCTTATCTTTACTCATAAGCCCTAAGTCACCAAAGTGGGTTTTCAAAAATAAATTCTGAAAAATCCAGAACACTATTCAGCTCTGTTCCCATAACAGAAACCCAATGGGCTTTTTTCTTTTTCTTTTTTTTTTTTTTTTGCAAGGCTAATGCAGTTTTAATCTGTTTTATTGATTCTTAAATTTTGTTTTATTTGACACCAATTAAATGACAGTAGAGGCGTCTGGAGAGTTGGACAAGCCACTGAGAGCACTCGCTGCTCCTCCAGAGGACCCAGGCTAGGTTCCAGCACCCACAGTCTGTAACTCTAGTCCCAGGGGTCCGACGACCTTCTCAGACAGCACCAGGCACGCACATGGTACACACACATGTGCACAGGCAAAACACTTAAACACAGAAAACAAAAATGCATACATCTTTAAATGACAGTAGAAGCATTAATTTTCTGTGTAGCATTTTGTTACCATGAAGGTTTTAATAAGGCTTAGAATATTTAAATAGTCACCTTCTCTGCTGTCTTTAAACAAACATCAGCTTTGGCTAAGTACCATGGTAAGTGCACAAGGTCACTCACTCTCAGCAGACCATTCTGAGAGACAACAATTTGTGATCAGCAATTAATTGATAATAAACAGTGCAGACTCTGCATTTTCTTTCTAAAACCCAAGCACATGCCTTCTCTACAAAATGTATATGGACTCCTAGGTTTTATACATTTCTAGGTTATCTAGATCTGAAACAATTCAGGAAATTATATTAAGAAAGGATCTTGTTTACAGAAAATTTTAATGTATAATTTCTTTACTGTAAACCTATTTTAGTACATACTTAAGTAATGTTTTAAAACCAAACAATGACACGATTGCCATAGTATGCACACTGTCTGTGGCAAAAATACACCCATTTTAGTGGTAATGAAAAGAAAAACGGGGCAAGAAGATGGGTAAGTGGGTGGAAACGCTTGACGTGCAAGCCTGGCCACCTTTACTCTCTGGAGCCCACATCAAAGGCCAGATATGATGATTCACTCAGTAACCTCTGCTCTCAGATAGGAGCCGCAGGAGAAGGAAGCATGAAAGTCACAGCCCAGCTACCTAGAGTACACAGCGCAGCCACAGAAACAAGAGCGACCCGGTCTGCATAAGGGAGAAAGTAAGTCTGCTGCCCCAAAATTGTTCTCTGACCACTACAGATATGCATTAGCACTTGTGTGACCACACACACACACACACACACACACACACACACACACACTTTTAAGTCAAAGATATAAAAAAAAAAATAAAAGGGCTGAAAATGTAGCTTAGCCGTCGAGCTCTTCCCTCGTGTGTGGGAAGCCCAAGGTTCAATCCCAGCACAAAGAAGGAAGAGGACACAAAGAGAAAGAATGGGAGGACAAAAACCAGGAGGAGGAAGAGCAGGGAGAAAGAGTAGGAAGAGGAAGACGAATTGTTTTATCTCTGATTACTAATGACACAAGGTGAGTGCTAGAAAGAGTGGAGGTCTGTGAGCATCTTAAACAACAGACACGTTTGCTCTCAGGTGTGTTCTCTGAGTGTGAAAATGGAAAATGCTCTTATAGAGCAGGGCGGACATCATCAGACCTCGGCAAACAGGAGCGATGTTGAAACATTACTTAGAGTTTTGCTAACTATGGAAACCTCACAGAGTTGTGACCATAGCTCCCTGGCAGTGGAACACTAGACTCAGAACAGGCAGCCGTTTCACAGTGAGAACTTCACGAATTCCCGGAGAGTCACCCATAACCATTCTGCTCGGTCCAAACTTTTCCACAACTCCACAGCACCAGCGGCACCAAACAGCAGCTCCAGACCCACGGCTCCCTTCTGTATAAAGATGACGACATGACTTGTTGCTTAGCCAAGCCAGCTCTGCCCTCTGCCCACAGAGCTGACACCAGGTCACTGCCGAGGCAAAGGCTTTTCTCACTCACCAGCTCCAAAGAATTTCTGCTGTAAATAACCAGGGCCAGAGCTTCCACAAAAGCTGAAAGCCCTGAGTCTGCTGCTCACTGCAGCCCAGAGCACAGTTGCCAAAAGCTGCACAGAGCTGCCCTCCTTATAAGGAGAGCAGAGACCGGGAGAGCAGAGGTGGGGAGGGTGGGGCCTCTGTGGAGAGTGGAGCAATGAGCCCAGTGTACAGAGAGGAGTGTTCTGAGGAATGTTCTGCAGCTGTCTCTGTCGATAGGCGGAGCTGGCTGGTGGGTAGACATTTTCAGGAAACAGAAGTGAAACTTAACCTCTCTGTGTGCATTCTGGGCAGTATAAACAGTTCCGGGAAAGAGAAAATGAACAGTTTATGCCTTCAAGATGGAAAAAAAGCTGAAAGATTCTGGGTCAGGAGGCGGTTCCCTTGAGGCATGTGAGGGTGTCCCTTGGCCAAAATTCCTGAGGAATGAGCTCTCTGAAGCCAAAGGAGTCCTGGGGACAGGGAAGAATGCTGGGAAGAGTTTCCAAAAACACTAGTGAGTGAGAGAAACAGGTTGCCCTGCCTCATTGTCTGTTTTCTCAGGAGCACTATGACTGACTATCCTCATTTCAACCCAAGGGCACACATGAGCGCGGGGTCTTACAGAGTCCAGAGCCATCAAGACAACTCAAGATCGGGGATCAGATCACACATCATGAAAGATTGGAGTGTTTCTGGGGAGCTCATAGTACTACATAAGATGGAACTTTGAGAAGTCTGGGTACTCCCTCTGACCCTTCTTCAGTGAGTAGGAAGGCCATGCAGAGCAGAGGGGATGGTAGAACTTGAGGAAAATGAAAAGGTCCAGCTGCTGGGTTGTGGGGAAACCCTCATGGGCTCCCTGGATATTTGGGGGCTTGTAGGTGTAGAGATTGCTGATGGGGGAGGGGAGAGAGCATAAGAAGTTCCTCAGCCTCACCAGCCCTCCCTCAATGCTGTGAACATATTTTTTCACAGCTACAGCCACAAGCCTCTTGTCGCCTGGGTTCATTCTCTAGGTCTTAGATCTCCAAAAACCCTAAGACGGTGTGTTCTTCTAAGTTGCCTAGACCCTGCAGACGATCCTACCAACCAGACAAACGCACCCACTGGTGGAATAGTGGCAAGACTGTCTATGGGAGTAACCAACAGCTCTCCGCTGGATCGGAGGCCTGTTCCACAGAAGGAATTTACATCTGGTACTGAAAACATGGTTTTTTTAAATAAAAAAAAAAAAGAAGAAGAAGCCGGGCAGTGGTGGCTTGTGCCTTTAACCCCAGCACTTGGGAGGCAGAGGCAGGCGGATCTCTGTGAGTTCGAGGCCAGCCTGGTCTACAGGAGCTAGTTCCAGGACAGGCTCCAAAGTCACAGAGAAACCCTGTCTCAAAAAACTGCAAAGAAGGAGGAGGAGGAGGAGGAGGAGGAGGCTCGAGAGCTCATTGGTCCAAAGGGAGGACCCACTATTTTCCTAAGCAGCCCTCTTGCCAAACTGCCTTCTAAATATCTATATTGGTATTTTCAGATGTGTGCCACCCTCAGCCTTAGGCAGAGGATCTTCTTATTCTAGTGGGTGGTAGTAACTGCAGAGATTCTTACTCTTCAGAGTGCTAGGAAACAGTGATTAGGAAGGTCTGCCGTAGATGGAGCACCTACATTGATCCTCCCTTGATCTTTAAGGCTCAGGAAGATCACAGAAGAGCTGGAAGAAAACTTCTAAGAACTAGAGAATAAAGAGGAGGAGTAAAACAATGTCCCCTGGACCTGGCATGGCTGTTGTACGTGAGCTCCCGGTCGCCATGCTTACTCTATTAAGATCCTCACAAGATCTAGTCAGTTAAAAATGTCAGAATATTAACTAATATCATTGGTGAAAATAGCTGTAAAAATCTTCAGTTAAAAAAAAAAAAGAGTACAGAAAGTCCGGGCTGATGGTAAGAAATCCACGGCCTCCCTGATGCAATTCTCAGGTGGGTTCTAGCCACCCCCAGGTTCAGTCAGGGCCCTCAAGGTCCAAGCTGGCAGAAGACATCCACCACCCACCTGGCGCCTTGTGCACTGGTCAAGTGGGTCCCGTTATGACGAGCAAATTTGTGGTAGAGAAATGGGAAGAAAAGAGAAGCAGAATGGTTCAAGTGCTGTGGAAAGAGGCAGAGAATGGAAGAAATGAAGGCGGTGAGGAGGAGGCTGATGTGGGAGGCCTGCTTGACACCTGGGACCAGGGTGACATCAGAGCCCAGGCTACTGCCAAGAGACATGTCTGGGTCCATGGTACTACCACAGCCAGGGTCTGTGTGGGCATCCACAGTCCGTGTTGCCACCAAAGACCACAGGATGCCCCATGCCTGGGCTGCCACCTGTGGCCATGACGGTGTCCAAGTGCTGTATCACTGCTGGATCCATGCTTGTCTGGGTGGCCTGTGTTACCAACCAGGGCTCTGGTGTTGTCCAAGCTTGGGCTGCTGCCAAGGGCCCTGACTGGGTCCGAGGCCCAGCTGCAACAGTCGTGGCCTGTGTAACCTCAGGGGGGCATAGGAACCATGTATGATGAAAATAGAGAGCCATGCTGAGACGACCCCACCCTTCACTGGCCCTGGGGAAACTAGCCCTACCTCTCAATGGAAACTACAGCAATAGAGCTGGCCCCCAGCAATAGAGCTGGCCCCAGTCCTTGCTGGAGAGCTGGCGCCTGCACTCAGGAGAGTTGGTCTCATCCCTCACCACAGGTGAAGAAGAGCTGACCCTGATGGCATGGGCATTGGGGAGCTGGCTGTGCCCCTCCCCTGAAGCAGGCAGCTCCAGTGACCCAGACTGACCAGGTCAGTTACCACCCATGCCCATAGCCAGACCTTGGGTTGACCCATGCTAACATCTACCCCATCTAGGACCTGCAAGAGTTCGGGAAAGGACTGGTCCTGTGGAATTATACCCACAGGATCTCCACCATTAGAAGCAGTCACAGGATATCCCGGAGGAGTTTCTGAGGATGCAGTGAAGACCCAGTGATGATGGTGTACCAGAAACCAGAGGCCTTGGACCAGAGCAGTGAGTCATTGCAATGAACAACTAGTGAAGCTGATTGGACAAAAGGGTGTGCTCTGTGACACACTGCCCCCATCAGAGCAAATGAGGAGGAGTTGGAGAGGTGGCAAAGAAGGAAAAGCAAAGAGGAATTTTTTTGGTTGTTTTGTTCTTGTTTGGTTTGTTTGATTGATTTGTTTTGTTGTTGTGAACTTTCTTTGTGGGGGACACTGCATGAGTGAGGGGGAAACATGGGGGGTGGGGAGGTGAGCAGAACTAGGGTGCATGATATGAAATTCCCAAAGAATCAATAAAGAAATTATGTTACAGAAAGAAAGAAAATTTTTAAAAATGTGTACAGACAAATCTCAAAAACATTATCTAGCAGGATAAAGTTGTCTTTATCCCAGAGGTGCAGAGATGATTCAGCATATGTAACTCAACAAGTGTAATAAATCATATACATGTACTAAAAACTGATTATCTCAGTAGATGCAGAACATCTTGGACAAAATCCACTACCCCTACATAATAAAAGTCCTAGAGAGGTCAGGGATGATGGAGCAGCTCTTTAATCCCAGCACTTGGGAGGCAAAGTGAGCAGCTAGAAAGAGTCAGAATAAAGGGAGCATACCTCAACACAATAAAAGCTGCACACAGCAAGTCCACAGCCAGTATCATCCTAAATGCAGAAAAACTTAAAGCAACCCCTGCAAACCAGGAACAAGACAGGGTTTCCCACTCTCCGCACTCCTTTTCAAGAGAATGCTTGAAGTACTAGTCAGGGCAATAAGACAAGAGTAGGAAATTAAAGGGACACAAATAGGAAAACAAGTCAAATTATCCCTAATGAAGATGGTATGAGGTCTCAACAATTCCATAAGAAAACTTCTAGATCAACACTTTCAGCAAAGTAACAGAATACAGAATTAACATGACCGGAGCTTGCTTCACAGCTGCAGGACTGACACCACGGATCCAGCATCATGGCAGCAGGAGTACTGGTGGTGGGCTCAGGAGAGCAAAGACAACGCTGGCAGGAGTAGCAAGGCTCTTCTCCAGCATCCAGACTTGGACCAAAGGTGTTTGTTACACTTGAGTGCCCAAGCGTCTCAGTAAAATCAGGTTCTGGCTGAGTATCCCAGAGCTGTTTCCCACACCAGAGACAGTGTCCTGGCTAAATACAGGGAACAGGGTGAAAGTCAACACTGCAGCACCCCCCTCCAGGATCTGAAGAAGGCTGTTTCCTCATGGCCTGCCTCCTCAATATGTGATGCAGGTGAAGACTTGGTGAAGCTTGTCTGATGGTAGAGAAGCCCCCAGCTCTAGAGCTTCTGGGCTTCCTGGCAAATGCTGCTGTTGCCCATCCAGCTGTGCGGTATCTTCTCTTTGGACAGAAGGGAACAGGAAGAAAACCTCAGTCTCGGCCTTGCTGTTCATTTCTGTGTAAAGCATGACCGGCTGATTCTGTATATTCTGGATGCTCATCTTTGGGTTAAAACTGCAGTAGCGTCTTCAGTCCACCTGCAACAAACAGAGCTTTGATCGACGCTTAGAGGCTTATACCTGGCTGAAGACTTTCAAAACCCAGGATGAGCGCTTCCTGAGCTAGATAAAAGTTCAAGAGAAGCACGTTTGGAAGAAGAGAGAACGCACTGAGAAATGCAGACCTCCATGAGATGTTGTTGAGAAAACACGAGCGAGGAATGCCACAGACATCCTTGAGATTGCAAGGAAGGAGTTAAGGAGGCAGAATCCCTTAGGGCTCTTTCACCTCCTGGTGGCAGAGGATGGAGTCAATGCCTTCTGGGGAAGGTTGAAGGTACAAAGAGAACATAGGACCCTGATTGCCCCGGAAGAACTAGCCCTTGCCCACAACCTAAGGAAAATGGTGGAAAATGATTGGCGTGGAGGTGCAATCATGTTGAGTTTGAGCTGAACTGGGTCTCTCTTTAAGTCCTCAACGTCCAGCTCCAACAGAAGAGGAAGGAAGGAGCTAAAGTCCCTGAGAAACTTTAACGGGGGCAGCTGGGGCCGGGGGTGGGGTACTCTGTGCTTGCTTGTCAGCACAGACACAGTGCAGCACATCTGGAAGACGTTTCCTTCCAGCTCCCTCACATGAGGAAGTTCCTAGGTACACAAATGGACCAGCTGACCGGCAGTGAGGGAACAACAGATAGTTCATCCTGGCTGGAGCAGCTGGGGACATCACATCTACAATCAGGAAATAGAGCAATGGATTCTTCCTAATGCTCAGGTCACTTTCTCTATTTTATCCATCCTGGGATTCCCTACTGAGAGAATAGTCTGGCCCACAGAGAGGATAGTTTCTCCTACATCAGTTAAAGCAGCCAAGATAATCCCCCATGGGCATTCCTCAGAGAGCCCATCTTCCAGGTGTTTCTAGATATTGTCAAATTGGCAATTAATACTGACTACCACAGATATAAACATGTAACTATTATATTTATGTAGTCAGAATTTCCATATCCTTAAGCATTTTTACAGAAAATTTTGTCAATATTATGTGGACATATTGACAGAATTCTTCAATATGTTCTAACCAAATATACATACTTTTGTTACTATTACAGCATCATTTCTTAGTTTTGGTGAGTTTCGGCACTTCGATTTGCTTATTATTGATATATCAGAGGGTAATTTTTGAATTTCTTATTGTTAGAGAATTTCGTGTGTGAATATAATTTGTTTTTATGAAATCTACTCCATTGTTCCTCTCTATAGTTCCTTCCCCATCCCCACTGCCATATTTCTATGTCACCTTCACATGCTCTTTTTTTTTCCTTTTGAGGAAGTCTCACTTTATAACGACTTGTTTGCTTAGAACTCACTATGGAGACAAGGCTGGCCTCCAGCTGAAAGATCACCAGCCTCTACCTCCTGAATGCTAGCTTTAAAAGTGTGCCGCCACATCTAACAATGTGGTTTTTTTTAAAGCCCACTGAGACCACTTAGTGCTGACTGTTTGCACATGGGTGCCGGAGCAGCTACTGGATGGTGGGTAGCATCTCTGGGGACACATCCCCGAGAAAACGGATTCTCCCTTGCCCAGAAGCCCCCAGTTGCCAATAGTCCTCAAAAAGGAATGGGACTTAATTAGCTCTTCTCCCAAGCATGCTACGGCTCTGCAGGTGTTGTTCATGCTGTCACAGCCTCTGAGAGTTCATGTATGCAACACTCCCACAGTGCCCAGCAAATAGTGTTTCCCTGAAGATGTTCCCTACCTCCAGCTCTTACAGTCTCTGTCTCCCCTCTTCTGTAGTATCACTCGGTCATGCAGAGAGGAGAGGCACAGAAATACCATTTAGAACTGAGCACTTCACTATCTCTTAATCTTTGAATATGAGAGCTTCTCTGATAAGAATTGAAAGATGTACAAGTCTATGAGTATAAAGATGAAGACTTAAGAGACATTCATTACTATGTCCTTTTAGTAGAATAATAGTATTAGATTCTCCCATTAGGGCCTGTGTCCTAGCCAGCTATGGTTTTTTTTTTTTAGCTTAGTTAGCAATACCAGACATGAGTCTGGTCTTGTGACACAGGCTTTACATGTAATCAGAAATCCCTGACTATTCCCATAACATCTGTGCCACTGTTGTACACATATCTGTTGGGTATATCTAGGCAGAGCACTCATTATTGTAATTTGCAGGAGTCACAGCTGGGTGATACTGCTGATTACTGTTCCCTCCAGCAGCATGCATGGAACCTTACATCACTATGAAAACTAACCAGGAGGGATGAAGCTCCAGCTTGATTTCTCCATGTCCTATGACTCAATTGAGTGGTGCCTTCAGTAATAGGATCTTACTGTCAAGTTCTGGAGAGTAACCAAGAGCAACAACAATAACCTATAATGTTTAGAAGTCTATGGGATCCCAATAGCCAACAACCTAAAAAGAAGTAACCTATACTTCACACTGAGCTTTTTATTTGGTAGCCTATGGTGTCAGGGAGAGGCACTGTCCTCTCCATTGTAGGGTGGCTCCATTTAAACTCATTTTCATATTTTATGAATGTTCCATAGGAATAGGCTCCCTGTGGCTTTTTCAACGATCTTCAGTGTTAGTTGTCTCTCCCTATATGCCCTCCTCTTGTGAAGGAACTTGTGCCAATACCTTCTTCTCCTTCTAGATTTTTTTCTCTTGTGGCATTATGTTCTTTTCTTTCTATTCCATTGTTTGTAAACTCTGGTAGCTTCTACAGAACAGTCTGGTGTCCACTTGCCTGCCTCTGAGTCCTATTGCAGAGGCTTCACATAACCAGTACTGTGGCCTCAGGCTGAAAATGAGCACGTGGACAGTTGTCCCCCACCCATCTCCCTGTAATACCTACCCCCGCCTTGGTGTGTAGAACAGCCCAGTGCCTGATCTTAGCTCCATATTTAATCCATCTCTACATTTTCAATATTTATCATCATGGAGGAAAGACACTGGCTGCCATGTAGGAAGAGGAAACGTTCAGCAACTGACATGTTCTGTTCTTGGTAAATCTGTCACTGAGCATGCGATAGTTGTGTTCTGAATACAACAAGTGTTCCTGCATATCTCCAGCACATGTAACCAGACATGAAGAACAGATCACTAACTCAAACTGTGGCATTTCCCCAGCTCCCTGGGGTTTGAGTTTGTTCTAGATCTGCATGGCTGTGCAAGTGCGGACAGTGGAAGGTTGAGGCCATGGCCTGGGCTTCTATCTGGTTATCTGAAGCACACAGTCCTCCTGTCTCCTTCCATACACAGAGTCATGAAATTAATATATATCTGTCTTTGAACTAACCACAGCTCTTCCTTGGTTTCCTTGTGGGAGTCAAAATATAGTTGTAGCTATTGAAAGTTTGGGGTACAGAGCCTGGCTTCCGTGACTCAATTATATGGCGATGTGTCACAATTTCACCAGGAAGATTCTCTGTGATTTGAAAGGGGGAGAGAGGACACTGTCTGTCTTTATCTCTGCAGCAGCAGGGGACCAGTGCAGAGTATTCCTAGGGCACCTGGGGGGTCCATGGTACAGAGGGAAAAGTGAAGCAGGAGTGAGCTGCAGGCCTCAGTGTCTCAGAGAAGCCTCACCTGCTTAATTCAGAGCTGAGACGTCTCTGAGAGGGACACTATGGTTCTCTCTTTAGTTACAAAGCAAATGATAGGTGACCTCACCATCCTGGATCAAAGACAAAACTGTGTTTACATTCATGTGTGCACATTCTGTGTGTGTGTGTGTGTGTGTGTGTGTGTGTCTATGAGCTGGTATATGTGTCTACTTGTGAGGTAGGTATGTATTCCTATGTAACAGTTGACACAGTACACATAGCTTCTCATAGTACCCTCCATGTAACATGTGTGGATGTGAGAGCACAAATCCCGCACTTTCTTGGAACAGTGACATGCTGTGTGAAGTTGTTAATGATCAAAGTCATATGAGGAAAACCTTTGCTCCTCCCTCTTCTCTTTTTCTCCTTCTGTTTATTCTCTCTGCCTGGAAGCCCCATCTATCCTTCTCCTGACTAGCTATTGGCCATTTGGCTCTTTATTAGACCAATCAGGCATTTTAGACAAACAAAGTATCCCAGCATCACAGAATTAACAATGCAACAAAAAAGAATGCAATTTGTCTTTGCATCTTTAAGCAAACAGTCCACAGCATAAATGAATGTAACACATCTTCAAGTAATATTCCACAACAGTGGTGGACTCAGAGGATGGCACTCAAAATCATGCGGAGGTAAGTCCTCACACGTGGGAGTCACATCTCAGCTCCTGAGCTCTCTCCGTCCTTTCCCACTCCTGTGAACACACAGCCTGGGATTCTGAACCATGGTCTCCTGCCTCCTGTCTCCAAGGTGCGCTGTCCAGCTCTCTGCTCCCAGCAGCTCTAAGGACATATGTTCTTACAAATGGATATTCCTTTGCTCTAGTTTTTAGTTTTCATTCATAAAACACAAAATAAAGACTGACTTCTTACATCTAATGAGGTAACATGGAAGAATGAAGAAATCAAAACCCATATTTGCAGTACTACCAAAATAGGGCAGAAATTTAAAAAAAAAAGGGAAAAGGAAAAGAAAATGGGAATCTGGACTTGAGTCAGGACTTTGAGGACTCTTCCTCGATATGGATCTGCTGACACAGCTCCCACATCCCTGAGAGACTTCAGTGACACTGAGGACCCAGAACAGTAGCACACAAATTAGGCATGACAAGCCAAACCTCAACCATGTGCAAGACATGCTCATACCTAATCACTTCAGAGAGCACAGGGTGAAGGAAGCAGGGCACTGATCAGCTATTAAATATTGTTTTAAAGAAGAGAAGGTGAAGACTTTAAACACACAGCCATCCCAATTCCTTCCACAGAGAGAAGACCCCACACACTGCTTCTAAACAATTAACTGTGAGCACATAACCCACAGGCCTGGGCCCACTGAGGAGACACAACACTGGACTGTGACACCCAATGATTTGTGACAAATCCCAGCTTCAAGGGCAGAATGGGTGGCTCTGGCTGTCCTCTGTGTCTGCACACTACGTCCATTGATGAAGTCCTTCCTGCCTAACAGACTGCTAGCTGCCTGACGCCCGGTTCACTATATTCTGCTCTACCGAGGAGGGTCTCTACCCAGGAGCATAAAGGGGCAAACAATACTGACTGTGAGATATGGGGAGATGTAGCCCTTGTATCCCTTAGCTGGGTGCTGGACTCACTGAGATACAAAGCTCTGAATCTCTCTCCCTAACCCTTGTGTTCCCAGACGCCCACTTAGCACCATGACATAAAGGAAGCAGGACACAGAAACAGCCTGTTAGTCTCCCAAAGCACGAACTAAAACCTGAAAGAAATGTGCACCAGCTTAGCTGAACATGGGACAGGCTCTGTTCTGCTGCCCCCCACTTCTCGTCACTGTCCGGTGGGAATTTGCCAGTCTTCTCCATGAGGACAGTGTCTATGACTGCAGAGTTGTCCTAATCCTTGGAAAGGAACATGGATCCTGCCCCATGCTCACCATATCACTTTTGCTGGGAAAATCCTCCTCCATTCCCTGTTGTGATATCACATGATCGTTGGTGCTTCCATGACAAGGTCAGAACACCCAGTCTCTGAGTGAAGTCAGAAGTTCACTGTCTGCTCAGCTGACTCCAGGCTGTTAGGAGACTGTGATCTCCCCCATCACCTGCATCAGACACTCTTCCACACTGAGACACATGGTGCAGGGCCAGGGTTCGGGCCAGGGTTCTAACCAGACATCCTTCATTGTTCCTGTGTTTTCTTGTTTGAAGACTGCTGATAGGTGAGATTACAGCAAACAAACAAGTAGACAGAGACAGCAAACACAGTGGGCAAGGCCACTCTGAGGGTCTGTAGCCCTCTCACAGCCAGAACTCCCTGGGATTGAAGTGCGATGGTGAACATTGTGTTTGGAGGACAAATTTACTGCATTGAACTTGTAAACACAAAATCGTTTTTAGTTTGTATAAACCTGGAAGACATTGCTGCTATCTTGTATCTTTCCTTCAGCTGGCTCCAGACAGACCACTTCCTGGTGGTTAGGCTATTCTTTTAAGAGAGAGAGAGGGAGAGAGAGAGAAGAGAGGAGAGGAGAGGAGGAGCTGATAAGGCTGATTGTTGGACATTTCACTTCCTCCTCTTTTCTTACAAGGTAATGGGTCACAAATTAAACTGCTAAAAATTAATTGCTAAGGTCTACTTTTGTCTGAGACTCTTGCTTGCTTGGACGTCTGAAGCTTCTGTAGGACGTCTGTTACAAGATCAAGCTTTGGCCACACCCAGACAGAATTTGAGTTAATCTGGCTCCCCCAAATCATAACTTTGTAATTTGTTCCTTTATAATTCTTTGGCTAACAACAGCCAGGGCCTTTCCTAAAGAACTCTCATGGTTTCTTCCTGGCTGGTGTCTTTTTAATTTAAAGCATCTAATTTATTATAACCCAAACTGGTTAATCTCTAAATGACCCGAGACCCACAGCAGTAGCTTGCCCAGGGCTAGGTGCCCACATCTGAGTTAGCAATCTCCAATGGAGAAGCCAGAGAGTCAGACCCAAAGTATTTCCCATGAACTGTGCTATCAAGGCCACAACACAAACTTAGTAAGACAACCTAAAACAGCTTGACCCATCTTAGACCTTCTCTAAAGGTCCTACCAGTTGCTTCCTGCAAACCAGCCATTTCTAGGAATAGAAACCGAAACCAGCTCTGACCATAGCCCATTCCAAGTGCGGATGGTTTGTATAAATAGAGTTCATACTCAGCCAGCAAGGGCAGTGCGTAGAACAAGAACGGTAAAGTAACTTGGGTGTCGGGGGGGGGGGGGAGATGTGGTTGTGCATCCCAAGTCCTTCTCTTTTCTCTATTCTGTTCCTAGGACTCAGAACTCCAGCACTCACCACTTTTCTTCCTGAACATCCTGAGTCTGAATTTCAGTTCTAGAACGTTCCAAGGCAACTGCCCCTGCTGCAGTGCACAGACCTCTCCTAATAGGAGAGCTTTCCCAGAGGCACCATTGCCCTCAGATCAAGGTGAGTGAAGGGTTCTAAGTTCAGCTTGGCCAATGGCCCTACTTGTGTGATAACGTGAGGAGGGGAGCACTGTCTCCGGGGGCAGGAGAGCTTGGAGATTTCACTCAGGGAGCACTCACAGCAGCATCCTTCTGTGCCATCTTCTGTGCCACAGAGCATCCCGAAGCAGACAAGCAGCAGCCCTTCCTTGTCCCTGCTTGTGTGGACCTAGCTGGTCTTCTGAAGCAGTCGAGTTTGGAGAAAGACCAAGGCTGGGATACCCGGATGCTCTTGGAGTCTTTGCTGTAAGCTACTCATTTACTCCATGGGGATAAAATCCCAGATGAGAAACAGCCACAATCTCTGGCAGATCAGGTTGTGCCCTCTGGCTTTCACAGATTGCCCTGTTGTCAGCCAGTTGTTATTCTGATGGCCCCACCTTTACACTTCCTGCTGGTTCTCTCCCAGTTTGTAGAACACTTGACTTTGCATATGTTCAGGGGTTTAGCTGTAATACGACCTCAGGAGTTTCTTTTTCTCCCCGGTGTTTCTGGAGCTTTACAAACCTTTGTATTTGTCTGGATGTGTGTTTCTGTCCCTACATTTGGAGACATTCTTGCTAGGATTGGTTGAGAATATTTTCTATACAGTTGGAATGGAGTTTCTGTTTCTTCTCTGTGGATGTGTTTCACGGTGTTCCAAAGGTCACATGTGGTCTGTGCATAGGGTTTTCAATTTTTTATGGTCATCCCTGACCAAGTCTTCCCATTCGTCTACATAGTCTTCAATTCCTGATATTTTCTCCTCTACATGATTCACTCTGATGGTGAGTCTTTGCTCTGAGCAGTTGGCTTAATGTATTTTTCATCTCTAGCTTCATTTAAGTCAAGACTTTCCTCAATATTTCTCATCATTGAATTCCATTTTCATACCCTATGTTGACCTGTCTTTTATTCAACTAATTGTTTGAGTCTCCATTTTTTGATCACATTTACATCATCCTTTTTAATTCTTCATCTGGAACTTTATCTAAGTCATTCTCAGGAAGTCCATTACTCGGGGGTTTATAGTTTTTGGAGGAGACGAGCTGACTCGGGTTTTCATATAACCAAGTTTTTGTGTTCGTATATGCTTAGATCACTGGTTGGATTTTCTTTTGTATATATTTACTGCCTTACTTATTTTATAATAGGAAGCAGTTGGTGGGCTTTGAAGGCTCTGATTCATGGGGTGGTCAACAGGGGTCAGGTGAACTTGGATGTCTAAGACTCAAAAGTAGGAATGCTGACCTCCCTGGGTGAGTAGGTGGGTAGACAGCTGGCAACTCTGACAGGCCAAGCAGTGGGTAGGCAAGAGGCATGGCAGACTGTGTGGTCTTCTGACTCTTTTTTTAAATTTATTTTTATTTCTTTATAAATAATACCAATGAAAGTTCCCACTTCTTCCTCTTCTCCCACTTCCCTCCTGCTCCCCCACCCCTCCCCCACCCCTTCCATTCCTAAGAGAGGGCAAGGTACCCTGCCCTGTGGGAAGTCCAAGGCCCTCCCCACTACATCTAGACTTAGGAAGGTTTGCATCAAAGAGAATACGATCCCAAAAAGCCAGTACATGCAGTAGAGACAAATCCCAGTGCCATTATCATTGGCCCCTCAGTCTGTCCCAGTTGTCAACCACATTCAGAGGGTCCAGTTTGATCCTATGCTCATTCAGTCCCAGTCCACCTGGAGTTAGTGAGCTCCCATTAGCTCAGGCACACCATCCCAGTGGGAGAACCAACCCCTCGTGGGCCTGACTTCCTTGCTCATATTCTCCCTCCTTCCCCTCTTCAACTGGACCTTGGGAGCTCAGTCCAGTGCTCCAATGTGGGTCTCTGTCTCTGTCTCCATCCATCACCAGACGAAGGTTCTGTGGTGATATTCAAGATAGGCATTAGTCTGACTATGGGACAAGGCCAGTTCAGGCACCCTCTCTGCCATTGCCCAGGGTCCTAGCTGGGGTCATCCCTGTGGACTCCTGGGAACCCCTCCAGAGCTGAGCCTCTTGTCAACCCCAAAATGGCTCCCTCAATTAAAATATCTCATTCCCTGCTCCTATATCCATTCTTTCTCCATCTCAACCATCCCACTCCCCCAAGTTCTCCCCAATTCTTCCCTTCTCCCCTCTCTCTCTCCCTCTCCCCTTTCCTTTATCTCCCTTCCCATGCTTCCAACTTTTGCCTGGCAATCTTATCTGCTTCCAGTCTCCAGGAGGATCTATATATGTTTTCTTTTGGGTTCACCTTATTACTTAGCTTCTCTAGGATCATGAACTATAGGCTCAATGTCCTTTGCTTATGGCTAGAATCCACTAATGAGTGAGTACACACTATATTCATATTTTTGGATCTGGGTTATCTCACTCAGGATAGTGTTTTCTACTTCCATCCATTTGCATGCAAAATTCAAGATGTCAAGATGTAGTACTCTAAAGTGTAGATGTGCCACATTTTCTTTATCCATTCTTCCGTTGAGGGGCATCTAGATTGTTTCCAGGTTCTGCTATTACAAATAATACTGCTATGAACATAGCTGAACAAATGCTTTTGTGATATGATTGTGAATATTTTGCATATATTCACAGATTCAATGCAATCCCCATCAAAATCCCAACAAAATTCTTCACAGACCTTTAGAGAACAATAATCAACTTTATATGGAAAAACAAAAAACCCAGGATAGCCAAAACAATCCTACACAACAAAGGAACTTCCGGAGGCATTACCATCCCTGACATCAAACTCTATTACAGAGCTACAGTAATGAAAACAGCGTGGCATTGGCATAAAAACAGAGATGTTGACCAATGGAAATGAATTGAAGACCCAGATATTAAACCACACACCTATGAACACCTGATTTTTGACAAAGAAGCTAAAATTTATACAATGGAAAACAGAAAGCATCTTTAACAAATGGTGCTGGCATAACTGGATGTCAACCTGTCGAAGAATGAAAATAGATCCATATATGTCACCATGCACAAAACTCAAATCCAAATGGATTAAAGACCTCAATATAAATCCAACTACACTGAACCTGATAGAAGAGAAAGTAGGAAGTAGCTTGCAATACATGGGCACAGGATACCACTTCCTACATATAACCCCAGTAACACAGACAATAAGTGCAGCAATGAATAAATAGGACCTCCTGAAACTGATAAGCTTCTGTAAAGCAAAGGACACTGTCATTAAGACAAAAAGGCAACCTACTGGGAGAAGATCTTCACCAACCCCACATCAGACAAAGGTCTGATCTCCAAAATATATAAAGAACTCAAGAAACTAGACACTAAAATTATTAATAGCCCAATTAAAAATGGGGTACTGAACTGAACAGAGAATTCTCCATAGAAGTATTTCAAATAGTCAAAAGATATTTAAGGATGTGTTCAACTTCCTTAGCTATCAGGGAAATGCAAATCAGAACAACTCTGAGATATCATCTTACACCTGTCAGAATGGCTAAAATCAAAAACACCAATGATAGCTTATGCTGGAGCGGATGTGGAGTAAGGGGAACACTCATCCATTGCTGGTGGGAATGCAAGCTTGTACAACCACTTTGAAAATCAGTGTGGTGGTTTCTCAGAAAGTTGGGAGTCAACTTACCTCAGGATCCAGGAATATCACTCTTGGGAATATACCCAAGAGATGTCTTCTGACTCTGGTAATCTTTCTGCACCCTCTTCCTCAGTGTTTCCTGTGTCTTGAGTTAAGGGTTATGTTATAAAATGAGGCAGGGAATAGGTTGTTCTCTGCTTTTTGACCAGCTGTGGCTTTCTGAAGTGGTCTCTCACTGCTGTGATAAGAAGAATCTTTGGTGCAAGAGAGAGCTCCATGTACCTGTGGGTATAAAGATGAGTATTTGGAAAGTAGTTAGGAATATTCAGGTTTCTGTCTGAGATATGTGCCCTCACTAGCAGCAGCTGGTTGGTTAGATTCTTAGTTACCAGGCACAATTTTTCTCTTGTTCAGCCAGGCTGATGAACAATTAGACAGGTGTGGGTCACCACCAACACATAAATGCCACCTCTGCACCTTTAGCTACATCAGTGTGATGATCATCACTGTGGCTCATGGGAGTCCCAGCTGGGCAGGCTTACAGAACGTTCTCCTCCCTTGGAAACTCTCATAGCTCCTTCTGATATTAGGGAAGTGTGCTTTGTCTTCAACTTCTGGGTCTCAAGCAAGACAACAGCAGGAGCCTGTGCTGTTTAAAGAGTATCGTGGACTTCCCTGACCCACAACTCGAGAGAAGTTTCTCATGCCTGACAATAAAGTTCCTGGTACTCTATGGGTCACAGGGGAGGCATCATCAGCCATGGCATAATGTCATTTAAAGTATGTGTATATACTATACACACACACACAATTTATGAAAATATGAAATTATAACATTCCAATAGGAGCCTTTTTCTATAGTTTTCACTTTTTCTCCATGTTAATCCTGTTTTTTTTTTCCCCTGGAGTCTTTGAACTTGTGTGATTTTAAGAAATGTTATGATCTTACAAATCTAGTCAGCATTATGCAGGATGCTTATCAGAGTTCTCCCAGGATATCCCTCTCAGTGCCTGGGGTGGAAGCTCTGATTCCTAGTTTGTCTTGATTTCTGACCTAGTCACCCCAGAGAACACAAGCAGAGATGCACACAACTGAGTAATACAAAGTTACTAAATTAAGATAATTTCATATGTTAGTTTTGGGGTGCTTTGGTTAAGAAGGCCCCATTTCTCTTGTCCTTTCATACTGGGAGAGATATTTCATAGATAGAAACCGACCTGGATTGCTCCGGTCTGAGCTCAGATCACATAGGACTTTAATCGTTGAACAAAAGAACCATTGCTACACCACTGGGATGTCCTGATCTAACATTGAGGTCGTAAACCCTAATTGTCAATATGGACTCTTGAATAGGATTGCGCTGTTATCCCTAGGCTAACTTGGTCTATTGATCAAAAAAAATTGGGTCAATTAGATTTTAGTTACTTTGACTTGTGAGTCTCGGTTAAAAATCATTCGGAGATTTATTTATTCTCTGATGTCACCTCAACTGAAATTACTAGCTTATGTCTTGTTATTTGAGATTGATCTAAAAGTTAGGCTAGTAAATTAAAGCTCCATAGGGTCTTCTCATCTTATTATTCCCGCCTCTTCATGGGAAGGTCAATTTCACTGATTGGAAGTAAGAGACAGTTGAATCCTCGTGTAGCCATTCATTCCAGTCCCCAATTAAGAGACAAGTGATTATGCTACCTTTGCATGGTCAGGATACCGCGGCCGTTTAACGTTAGTCACTGGGAAGGCGGTGCTTCTAATACTTTTTATGCTAGAGGTGATGTTTTTGGTAAACAGGCAGGATTCTTATTTGCCAAGTTCCTTTTACTTCTTTTAATCATTCCTTATGTCATGCCTGTTTTGAATAAACAATTTGAACGCAGGTGGTGTTGATCTTTAACGCTTTCTTTTTTGGTGGCTGCCTTTAGGCCAACAATGGTCTGAGGTTTAAGGTTGATTCACTATAAAAGGTTGTTCCCATTCCTGAAGAGCTGTCCCTCTTGAGGCTAAAATTTAAGTTTACATTTTGATTTTTGATTTCTTATGGTAATCTTAAAGTTGACGTGAAATTCTTTACTGGGTAACCAGCTATCACCAAGCTCCGTAGGCTTTTCACCTCCCTAGGAGTCATCCCACTATTTTGCTACATAGAAGGGTAAGTTCTTTGTACTGCTCTTAGGTGGCTCGTTTGGTTTCGGGGTATCTAGCTTAAGATCTCTTGGAGGTTTTCTAGTTAACTCACTATGCAAAAAGCATAAGGTTTAATCTTTGCTTATTTTTATTTTTGATTGATCTTTCATCTTTCCCTTATGGTACCGTCTCTATAGCTCCTAGTTTAACTTTCTTTCTCCAATACTTGCTTTTGCCAAATGTTTGGTTTTATTGTTGTTTATAGTTGAATTTAATATATATTAGGGCTAGGTTTAATTCATAGTGTCCATTGGTTGTGGAGTCTTCTGGGTGTAGACCAGATGCTTTACTAGGGTTAAGCTACACCATGACTATTCCAAGCATACTTTCCAGTATGCTTACCTTGCTACGACTTATCTCCTCTCATAAATTGTGGATGTAGTTATATATTTGTTTCACTTATTTAGTTTGAGCACCAGGAAGCAGGAGTCCCTCACATAGGAGTCTGCCAACCATGGACGTCATGTCCCGCCTCTGATAGGAGAAGAAGGGGGAATCACAGTTAGTTGGACATCTCTTTTCAATTCAGCCTTTTCCAGCCCTTGTCATTTCGTCATTATATAATAACTATGCAAATAGACCAGATTCCTTGTGGACTCACAGGCCATTCAGTAAAGGGTTCACATAAGGTCGAGGACCCTGCTAGGAGAAGTGTTGCTTCTTTTATGACCTTTTAGGGTTGACACCATGTATGAGCACCATGAATGAGTGTCATTTTAATGAAAATAAAGGAATGTAAAGGTTGCAGTAGGTGAGGTCACGTAGTAATTGGAGTCTGAATTAGAGCAAGTAGGGCAAGGAAATTCCTAGGAGGAAATGAAGTGTGAGAAAGAGACCTCGTTATATCTAGGTCATTAGGGGAAGCAGCAGCCAAGAGAAGAGAAGACAGGCAACGCTGGCTCTGACGTGGGTCAGGGTCAGGGTCCTGCTTTCCTGAACCAGCAAACACCAAGGCTTTGCCCTGCTTTATTAGTAATTACAATTTCTCTCTTCTCTGCTCCATTCAGCTTCTACCATAAAGAGTCATGGCTTGGGCCTCCAGCTTTGATGCATTCTTTAAGAATTTTAAGAGGGAAAGCCAAATCCTCTCTGAGGAAAACATCATCTTGATTAAACACTACACTGAGACAAATAGGCTCGAGAAAGCACTTTCTGTAATCCACAATGCACTGAGAGACATCGAGAATGCACCTCTGAACATTGCTGTGACAGGGGAGACAGGGACAGGGAAGTCCACGTTCATCAATGCCCTGAGAGGTTTGGGGCAGGAAGACGTAGGTGCAGCCCCCACTGGGGTGACAGAGACAACCTTGAAAAGAATTCCGTACCTGCACCCAATGTTTTCCCAGGTGACACTATGGGACCTGCCTGGCATTGGGTCCACTTCCTTCCCACCAGAAAACTACCTAACAGAAATGAAGTTTGGTCAATATGACTTCTTTATTATCATCTCGGCTACACGCTTCAAAGAAAATGATGCCCAGCTAGCCAAAGCCATCACCAAGATGAATATGAATTTCTACTTTGTCCGAACCAAGATAGATACTGACATAGATAATGAACAGAAGAGTAAACCTAAGACTTTCAATAAGGAGAATGTCCTGACGAAAATCCGAGGTGACTGTTCAAGACATCTCCAGAAGACTTTCTCCAGTGAGCCTCGAATCTTCTTAGTCTCTAGCTTTGATTAGTCCGACTTTGACTTCCCAGAGCTGCAGAACACCCTACTGAGAGAGCTCCCAGCCCACAAGCGCCATGTCTTCATGCTGTCCTTAAGCAGCGTTACTGAGGCCACCATTAACCTCAAGAGAGATTCCCTGAAGCAGAAAGCCTTCCTAGAGGCCCTGAAGACTGGAGTACTGGCCACCATTCCACTTGGTGGCATGATCATGGATGACATTGAGAACCTGGATGAAACATTCAATCTCTACAAGTCTTGCTTTGGCCTGGATGATGCCTCACTGGAAAACATTGCCAAGAAATTTAACACACCTGTCAATACACTCAAGGCACGCCTTCGGTTTCCCCATTTGTTTACACAGAAGAACAATGAGTCCTTAGAGGACAAACTGTGGAAATATATCCATCACATTTCTTCAGTTACTGGTGGTCCAGTCGCTACTGGCTTTTATTTGGGTCAGGCTTACTATTTGCAGAATCTCTTTATTGATGCTGCAGCAAATGATGCCATAGCTCTTCTTAATAAGGAAGATCTTTTAGAAAACGAGGTGGAACCATATATATCTCAGCCCCCTGATTACTGGGAATGACGGGGAAATGAGGCACAAGTTCCAATCAGTGTTTACTTTTGGCGTTGCTTTGGACACTGACACCTAACCTGTGGATCTCCTCTGGAACAAGAAGATCACTGTGGCAAGAGCTCAGTTGTGCTGGAGTAGTAGTACAACAGTTATCAACAGTGTGCAAATGCCTGAGGAAACCTCGTTTCCATTAAAGTCGTATGAAAACCATTCATGATAATTTGGATTTGACTTGCAATTTTATGATCAAATGACTTCTGGATCTTTCAATCCTGTGAAAGTCTTCACACAGTTCTGCATTCTCAAAGTTAGCTCTGCTTTGTAACATTGATTTGAGGGCATCTGGTGCCCAACACTGTGTAGATAAACACGCCTCTTTAAGAGGTGTGAGCCCCACATAGGAATCACACAATAGGAGGGGACTGTGGTCATTAGCCAAGCTCCATTCAGGAAGAACTTGGGGGAAAATACCCACTAGCAAACATCTGTAGGTCCAGTTAGTGCACACAAATCAAGATAGATGTCCTATCCTTTCCTGGCCATTCTGAACTGCTAGAAAGTCACACAGTGTGAATGGCAACTGGAACTCTAATTATGAACCGTCCCTCCTCATTATTTCACTCATTAGAAAAAACGAAAATCCCATTTGACCTTTTTTCTCTAGTCTCCCGTGGGTACTGTTGGTACTTGCTCTCCCTTGACTGGGCCAGGATGTGGAGCTGTTGACGACTGCTTTGCCCCACTACCCTCCTGACCGTTCATGTCGATTATGGATTTTCTGATAGCACGGCAGAATGTGAGATGGGCCTGAAAACGCCGTGAAAGGTTATCGTGATTCTTTTATTTTGTTCTATCTCATTATGTTATCTATCACTGATCCAGGAAGAACTGCCTGTTTTTAGACATAATTCTTCATTGATTCTTTGGAAATTTCACATCATGCACCCCAATCTGTCTCGACTCCCCATCCCTTGGTATCTGCCCCCATCCTTACTGTGTCTTCCACAAAAAGAAACACACAAATTAATTAAGAACAAAAAACCCCCCAGAAAACAAGTAAAAGACAAACAAAAAAACCAAAAAACAAAAGCACTTCCTTCTCCCTCTTTCCCATCCCTCTACAACCTCTTCGTTTGACCTAGAGGCACTGGGAGCTGTGCTGTGTCCCACAGTATACCCTTTTGTCCAATCACCCTAACCAAAGATGACCACTGTAATGAGTCATTGGTCCAGTGCAAGGCCTCTGGCACACCAGCATCCCTGGACCCTCACAGAACCTCCTCTTGGTTGTCCTGATGTTGCCCCAAGTCTTGGAGAACCTGTGACTATTGTTTTGCTGGACCAGGCCCCTCCCATGCTCCAGCAGGTATCATGGGGTAGATGTAAGGGTGGGCGGCCCACCCAAGGCCCAGGATCTAGGTCTGGGTGGTAGCCGAGATCATCAGTCAGGGCCGCTGAGAAACTTCTCCCTTCAGGAGAGGTGTGGAGCCAGGTCTCCTAGGCCCATGTAGTCAGGGCTAGCTCTCCCATTCAGGGGTAGAAAGTAAAGCACATGTTAGGTCAGTGTTGGAATCCTCCAGAAAACCAGAGGCAGTGGTCAAGGCCCTGTCAGCTCCGTCCATGTCCACACCACACTGACATTAGTGACTTCTGTGTGTGGTGACCCACACACCCGACAAAACAGCATGAGGAAGGAAGGTCTGCTTTGTCTCAGAGTCGGAGAACTGCAGGTCATGTTCCAGAGGTGGCAGGTGGCAGAAACGATGGGGTCCATCCAAGCAGAAGGCCGTCTGGGAGACGACAGAGAAGCAGCAGACAGAGCTGGAGGACACGAGGCAGGGAATTCACAGTCCTGGGCTCCAGACCTATGAACAGCCCTGCCCCAGGATCCACAGCGTGAAATACAGGAGCCTGTGGAACTCATTCCAGATTCCAAACATAATACTCTTTTATCCATAGCTTATTCTCTTCCCGAAAACCCAAACATCCGGGGAGAAATTGATGCTGTACCTTGTATCCAAACAGCCTGGAGCAAGAAAGCCTCTCTTCTTTGGTGATGCTGGATCTTCTTCAATGACTTGTCTGATGTAATCCACAATATGGAAGTTTGTCCAATGTGTCTCCTCACTCAGAATTTAGTGTCACCTAAATACGGCTTCAGCTCACTCTACTGATGGTTAGTTCATCTGGGTGATACGACCCGGCCAGGTTTCCATGTAAAATTCATATCCCCAATCCCCATGTTTATCTTTATTTCTTTATGTTTTAGACTTTACATACATGTGTATGCATATAATAATATGTATATCTGAAGACATATATATGTACATGTGCATATATATAGCTATATAGAGAGACAGTGAGTTGTATTTTCATGAGATACAATACGACATTTGGCATAGACGTGCAACACAAAATGATCAAATCTAAGCAGTTATACTTTCCATATCCTTAACCATTTTTCAGTCTTCTGATTCACAGGTACTACGTCCATATCAAGGAGGACAATGTGACATTTTGTTACATGCATGCCATGATACTGCCTTAGTTTCTCCTGCTGGAGCTCTGATAAAATACCATGACCAAAGCAACAGTGGAGAATGGGTTTATTCCAGCTCACAGTTCAGGGTTACAGTCCATGGTAGGGAAGTCATGGCTGGCACCAGAAGCATCTGGACCTGTCACATCCACAGAGACTGCAAAGAGCAATGATGCATTGATGCTAATGCCCAGCTCCTGCCCTCACTCGACACAGTCCAAGGTCTCCTTATATCCACAATTAACATAATCAAGGCAACCCCAGAAAGGATGCCCAGAGCATCCCAGGAGACTCTAGAGTTTGTCAAGTCATCAACACTGTTCATCACAGGCACTGACCACATCAGGGTTCTCTGTTACCCTATAGTATTGGTTTTGTGTCATTGAAGTGTTTCAGAACCACCATTTGGCTTCTTCATAAAATGTGTGAAAGATTATTTTAAACTGGCCACTCTGATGTGCTTTTGCAAAGTGGACTATTCCTTCCATCTTCCTCATGGTACCTCTGATCCGAACTCTCTCTAGCCCTCTTTCCAGCCTCTACTGAACACTTTTCCACATTCAGTTCCCCCACTGGCACACAGGAGAGACCGAGCATTGATACCTTGTTGCCTTTGTGGTTTTCCTTCATGACACTATACTATCTGCTGACCTGTCTGCTCCTGATGGCCGCTTCCGTCCCTCTGTGTCCTGCTGCAGAGGCTCCCATACCCATGCTGTGGTCTGAATACGAATGGGAGCATGTGCACAGATGTGTCTTCCACCTCCCTGAAATACGCAGCCCTGCTTTGCTGTGTAAAACAACAGTGCCCAGTAGCTCAGCCTTTGATGTATTTGCGTGTGTTCCAATCCTTCTGATCGCAGAGAAAAGCTGCTGCTGCCATGTTGCAGAAGGAAGTTGTCAAAGGCTGGCATGGTCACTGACAGGACACGAGCCAGCACGAGCATGGCATACATGGCTCTGGCAGGCCATACCCTTCTCTCCCATTCCCTCGGCCGTGCTAAAAACCCTTAGGTTACCTTCCTAAAGCTAGACACCAAGGTCTATTCCTGCACTTGGCCTTTCCTCCTCCTTAGGCTGACTACCAAGGTCCAGGCATCAAAGTATTGAAATATGGCAAATAAAAGCTGCCCTAATCAACGTGACCAATTAAAGTTAAACACCTTTCCCTAACACAGGGTTTCCTCCTGTGCCCTTAAATATGCCGGTGCCAGTGCTCACTGATAACAATCCACTGCTGCCTGCTCAGACTGTGGCATTTCAGTTCCCAGAGTTGGGTTTATTTATTCCCCGGAGAGGTTAGAATGACTGGGTGAGCAGAGGCTGTCGGAGAGGGGCTAATACTGTCGTCTGGAAGCTCTGTCTCTGATTGCCTGGAGACACAGCCATCCCTTCTCCCTACCATACACACATCCTGTCACAGTCTTACTGGTGTCCTGCCTACGCCCTGACCATAAACTCCTCCTTGGTTTCACTTGGGAGTCACAGCACAATTCTAGGAGTTGGAGAACCAGGGCAGAGCAGCTGACGTCAGCACCCGGAAGCCCTGACTCATTTTCTGTGCCAGTGTATTGTGTGCTGAGGAGGGGAGAGAGGAGAGCAGCCACCTCTGTCCCTGGGTAACAGAATACCGGGAAGTTTATTCCTTTAGAGCCTTGATTTCACAGTGAGACCAGCAAGGAAAGAGGGAGTCAAGGTCACATGTGGGAACAGAGTTTGCAAAAATCCAAATCTGCTCACCTCAGAGCTAAGACACCTCCACTGTCTCTGAGAGGAACAAGGAATCCTTTCTTTAGTTACGGAGGAAATTGTAGAAGACCATCACCCTGGTACAACAAAAGGAATAAGGTGCTGTCCCTGATGCATCTATGCTGTGGATGTGTTTGCATGTGTGTCTCTGTGTGTGTTTGTATAGGGTCAGCCTGCAGCTATGTGTGTTTGTGTGTAGCTGATGACCCAGTGCTTGAAGCTACACACTAACTGAAGGGACTGGAGCCCACTCAAGCATGGGCTCTGGCAGGAACTGCTGTTCTCCCTAGTTTCCTCTGCCTTGCTGATAATCTTTAGATTCCACTCCTAAAGCTGGCCACCAAGGTCTCTTCCCTCATTTTGTCATTGCCTCCTCCTGAGGCTGGTTACCATGTTCCAGACACCAAAGAATTAATGTCCAGCAATCAAAAGCCCCTCTGACCCACTTATTTAACATGCCCAACCAAAATACCCCACCTCATCCTAGCCGACTCTGACACAGAACTCCCGTTTTCTCTCAGGGATGACACCTCCAGGGTCATTTGCTGCTGTTTCTCTGCCTGAGTCAGGAAGCAGCCACTTTACCTTTTCTTCCCCACGTAATAAAGGATCTAATCTGGGTTGGGAAAGGGCACTCCCTCTGTGCAGAGGTCTCCTCATTGGTTCTGGGATTTGGCCCATTATCACCCAGTCCCTTTTCACACACCCCAGTCCTTCTGGATGCCCTCACCCAACAGATGACTGTAAGGCCCTGACCCTGGTTGTTCTAAACAGTCCCCAGGTTATTGGGTGACAATCATCAAATATCTAGTGTCCCCACTCTGTTCTGTGGGACTGGGAAGACTGCACTGCACCAAGAATTTCAGTGGTTGCCCTGGGCTCCTGTGGACTGGCTGTTAGCTAGGCACATTCGTTCAGTCTGGTGTGGTGAGGACTTTTCCCTTTCGTTCTTGGTTGTCATTCTGCCGGAATCTGGTGCTCTTTGCTCCTGTGAAAAAACCTGTTGAAAGGTCCCAGATTCATCCTTGGACCTACTCGGGTCCCTCTCTGGATTACAGAGCCTGGATGACTGTTATTCTGCCTCTCAAGGTTCATAGGGACACCTGGTCTCTTGACTTTTGGCCCTCTCCTCAGTCTCTCAAGAGACAGAGGAATACCTGGTATCTTGACTTTGACATGCTACCGCCAAGGGTGATGGGCTCTACCCCCTCCATTGTGATTCATCATCTTTGGGATTTCTCCTCCAGAGTCTTCAATGGCTACAGCACTCAGACATCAAATTTCCTAAACTCATTCACTATAGTGCCCAGGCTCGGGCTCTACACCCATGAGATAACCAATCTAAAAGGTGGCCTAACAGTTTAGGATCCTGTCATCATTCAGAGTCTTTGCAACTTTAATAAACTCACAGGAAAATGGAAAGAGATCCTTTATGTCTCTGCTTCTTCCTTTCTTTGATCCAAGATCTCACTGTACACTTCCTGCTCACCATCTCATGGCCTCCTTGTTCTCAATGAGAGTTCATGGATGCAACATTCGCACCATGTCCAGCAAATAGTGTCTGATGTTCACTACCTCCAGCTCTCACCATCTTCCTCTCCCTTCTTCTGCAGTATCACTCAGGCGTGGGGAGAGGATTGTGGTATAGAATTGTCATTTAGAACTGAGCACTGCACAATCTCTTGTTCTCTGAATGTCAGCCGGTTGTTGGTCTGTTCGTATCAACAACTCCTCAAAAGGAGGCTCTCTGGTAAGAATTGAGACATGTACTACTCTATGAGTATAAAGATGAACACTTAGGAACAATTTATTACTCTGTCCAGTTAGCAGAATAATAAAATTAGCTTCTCCCATTAGGGCCTGTGTCCTAGCCAGCTACGGGATTTTTAGCTCAGTTAATAGTACCAGGCGTGAGTCTGATCTTGTGGCACAGATTTACATGTAATCAGGAAGTTACTGGTCACTCCCATAACATCTATGCCAGTGTTGCACCCACAGTATATCTTAGCAGAGCATTCATTATTATAGATTGCAGGACTCACAGCTGGGTGATACTGATGATTACCGTTCTCCTCCAGCAGTATGCATGGAACCATACTGTGTGGTGCTTTCAGTCCTAGGGACTTACTGACAATTCTGGAGGTTAACCATGAGTAATGGTAATAACCTATAATGTTTAGGGGTCTAAGAGATCCCAGTGACCAAAGAACACAAAACAGGTTTCCTATGTTACACATTGAGCTTTTTATTTGGTAGACTATGGTATCTGGGAGAAGCACTGCCCCCTCCATGTAGGCTTGCTTCATTTAAACTCATTTTTACATTCCTAGGAAGATTCTACAGTAATAGGTTTCCTCTGGCCTTTTCAAAGTTCGTCAGTGTCAGCTATCCCTCCCTATCTGCCCTCCTCTTCTGAGGGAGCATGTGTTAATACCTTCCACATTTTCTAATTCTTTTTTCCCTGGGACACTACATTCTTTTCTTTCTGTTTCATTATTTGCAAACCTTGGTAGCTTCTACTGAACAGTTTGTTCCTGGTCCAGTTATCTACCTCTGTGTCCTACTGCACTGGGTTTCCCAACTGCACTGTGACAGTTGACTGTCCCCAACCAGTCTCCTGTAACCATACCCCTGCCTTGGCGAGCAAAACACCCCAGTGCCTGGTCTTAGCTCCATGTTCAACCTATTTCTGTGTTTTCAACATTGATCATCATGGAAGAAAGACACTGACTGCTATGTTGGAAGAGGAACCTCCTAGCGGCTGACATGTTCTGGTCTAATAAGTCTGTTAGAACATGTGATGGTTTGTGTTCTGTTTACAGTGAGTATTCCTGCATATCTCCAGCACATGTAACCAGATATGAAGAAGAAATCACTAACTCAAACTGTGGCATTTTCCCAGATTCCCGGGGTTTGAGTTTGTTCTAGATCTGCAATCTGCATGGCTGTGCAAGCGCAGACAATGGGAGGTTGGGGCCATGGCCTGGGGTTCTGTCTGGTTATCTGAAGCACACAGTTCTCCTGTCTCCTACCATACACAGCCATGTAATTAGTATATTTCTGTTTTAGAACTAAAAACAGCTCTCCCTTGGTTTCCTTGTGGGAGTCAAAATATAGTTCTAGATATTGAAAGTTAGGGGTACAGTGCCTAACTTCCATGACTCAATTATATGACTATATTTCACAATTTCACCATGAAGATTCTCTGTGGTTTGAGATGGGGAGAAAGGATACTGTCTGTCTTTATCTCTGCAGCAGCAGGGAACCAGTGCAGAGCATTCCTAGAGCACCTGGAGTGTCCATGGTACAGAGGGAAAAGTGAAGCAGGAGTGAGCTGCAGGCCTCAGTGTCTCAGAGAAACCTCACCTGCTTAATTCAGAGCTGAGACGTCTCGAGAGGGACACTATGGTTCTCTCTTTAGTTACAAAGCAAATGATAGGTGACCTCACCATCCTGGATCAAAAAGAAAGCTGTGTTTACATTCATGTGTGCACATTCTTGGCCTGTGCCCATGCGTGCGTGTATGTTTGTGTGTGTGCGCGTGTGCGTGCATGTGTGCCTATGAACTGGTATATGTGTCTACCTGTGTGGTAGATATGTGTTCTTATGTACACATAGCGACTAACAGAACTCTGCACTTCACATGTGTGGGTGTGAGGGCACAAATCCTGCATATTTTTGGACTAGTGACATCCTGTGGAACACTGTTAATAATCAAAGTTAAATGAGAAAAACATTCGCTCCTCCCTCTTCTTTTTTTCTCCTTCTCTATTTATTCTTTTTGCCTGACAGCCCCGCCTATCTTTCTCCAGCCTAGCTTTTTTTTTCCCGTTCGACTCTTTATTAGACCAATCACTATGTTTTAGACAAAGTAACACAGCTTCACAGAATTAAGCAAATGCAGCATAAAATAATGCAGTAAGTCTTTGCATCATCAAACAAATATTTCACAGTATAAATGAGTGTAACACATCTTCAAGTAATATTTCACAGCAGTTGTGGACTCAGAGCACGGCACTCGAAATCACGCGGAGGTAAGTCCTCACGCACGGGAGTCACTTCT